CACTTTAAAAACTGGGGCAACGCTCTCAGCTTGCCCATCATCGGCAGCTGGCCTGACGACATTCATATTCGTTTGTTACAACATTTACATCGGGTCAGCCCTTGTAGTCCTCTTACACCTCTTCGTCTTATTTTGGCACAAGGAGTTTTCCCCAGCTGTGGAAATCTGCCATTGTTCTCCCTTTCCGCAAACCCGGGTACTAAGGACATGATGCCTCCCACTATCGCCCCATCGCTCTTACTAGTGCAGTTTGCAAAGTGATGGAACGTCTCGTAAATCGACGTTTTAAAGTTTGGGATTTAGAGACGCACAACAGTCTCTCCGCTAGTCAATATGGCTTTCGTAAGGGTCGTTCTACCCCTTACTATTTCTTGGTACGTATGTTCGTAATGCCTTTGCGAATAATCAAATCAGTTATTGCCATAATTTTTGACCTTGAGAAGGCATATGACACAATTGGAGGTATAAAATTTTGGCCCAGGCCCATTCCTTAGGCCTCTGAGGCAATCTCCCATCCTTCCTTAAGGAACTTTTTAACCGACAGACATTTCCGTTTTTCGAGTCAATAATGTTCTTTCCCCGGACTTCGTCCAAGCTGAAGGTGTCCCTCAGGGATGTGTTCTAAGCACAACACTTTTTTCCTTGCTATAAATGATTTGGCCTCTGTTCTTCCACCCAATATTTGGTCATCACTCTATGTTGATAACTTCGCTATTGCTTGTGCAGGCGCTGACTGTCATCTTATTGCAGTTTCTCTCCAGCATGCGGTCGACCGTGTTTCCACTTGGGCCACCACGCATGGTTTTTAAAATTTTCAAGTACCAAAACTCACCAAATTACTTTCACTAGACGCTCTGTTATCTCGATCATCCTTTGTATCTCTATGGCTCCCCTATCCCCGAACGTGATACAGTCAGGTTTTTAGGCCTTCTCCCTTTTACTGTAGGTTATCCTGGAAACCTCACATTACCTCTCTGAAGGCAACTTGTCACAGCGGCTAAAACCTTTTTAAAAAACCCCTTTCTGATCGTCGAACTCTGCTTCGCCTACATTCAGCCCTCGTTTTATCGAAACTCGATTATGGTGACCAGATTTATTCCGCGGCCTCTCCTGCTACACTCTCTAGCCTTAACTCTATCCATCACCAAGGATTACGTTTGTGCCTTGGTGCTTTTCGCTCTTCCCTGTTGAGAGCCTCTTACAGAAACGAATGTTCCATCCTTGTCTGATCGCGTGATTTCCCATTGCCTTCGCTACTGTGTACGCTCCACGATCTACACAATCCTTCATTTATAGAATGGTCCACCGATATTAGTAGACATTCTTTATTCTTCGCCCCCCGTTTGCTCCATCCCTTTTCTCTTCGCCTACATTACTCTTGTCTTCCCTTCCGTTCCACCTTTTTATGTTCATGTTGCATCTCACTTTTTCCCCACCCCCTGGGAAGTTCCAGCTGTTCGGGTCTGTTCTTTCTCACTCCCTTGCTCGAAAGCTCAACTGCCTACGGTGGCTTCCCGCTCTCTTTTTCTTGATCACTTCCCCCTCCCATTCTCATGCCACCGCTGTGTACACAGATCGCTCTAAGTCTTCGACGGCGTCAGATTGCAGCAGTGTTTCCCGGACAGCGTCGTTGCGGGGGCATTTATATCTTCAGCTAGCACTTTTACTGCTGAACTGTATGCCATTCTTGCAGCACTTATTCGTATCGCATCTATGCCTGTGTCATCATTTGTAGTAGTCTCAGACTCCCTTAGTGCTCTCCAGGCTATACGAAAATTTGATACATCTCTCCTCTAGTTCTCCGTATCCCAAATTTGGCTACGCCGTATCTCTACCAAACAAAGATATTTTTTTTTTGTTGGGTCCCTGGTCATGTCGACGTACAGGGTAATGAACAGGCAGACACTGCTGCGCGGTCAGCAGTAAAATGACTACCAATTTCTATCGAGGTGTTCCATTTCTGGACTATTTTGCTGCATAGCTACCCACCTTCGCACCCGTTGGCAACAATGTTGGTTTAACTCTGCTCGGTAACAAATTTCATTCTATTGAACCGAGCATAGGTTATGGCCGTCTTGTTGTCATCAGTGCCGAGGTTGGGAGACCACTCTCTCCCGTCTTCGCATTGGCCACACTCGTTTTTTTACTCAGGGTATCTCATGGAGAGGCACCCTGTACCTCTCTGTGAGCAGTGTCAAGTTCCAGTATCAATTAGCCACATTCTGTTAGGGCTGCCCTCTCTATCAACGAGCACGCAGAATTTACCTCCAACGCCGTCTTCGTTCTATACTCTCTCTTTACCTTCCCTTCTTGCTGATGGACCCTCCTTTAATCCTGACTCTCTCATTGACTTCTTGACAACGACTGATTTACTCCACAAACTCTGATGGGTGATGCCTTACGCACTCCCCTCAGCCCCTTTTTGGCTTAGTCTCATGCTGCCCTTTGCCCTTTCACCCCTCCACTGCTCCTCTGTTTCCGTAACCTATTGCTCATCCACCTCCCTTTTGCCACCTGATGCCCTTGCTTCCTTCCTGCCTGCAGCGCTGTATAGCTATTGTGGCTTAGCGCTTCTTTTTTATTATAATAATAATGGGAAAGGAGGGTTAGAAAGGATGTGGCAGGGCAGGGAGGAGTTGGAAGAAAAGAATACTAAAATAAAATACACAGCTAAACTCACAGTTTGAAGAGGCAACTTTAGACGATGTTTTGGTCCATCTTGGACCGTTATTAAGTCAGGAAAGACTAAAAAAGTCAAAATTGTGAGTTGTCTGTAAAAATATTCCACTTACAATATTGTCTTTTATTCTTCCTTAACGAGCAATATAAACAACTGCACTCTAAATCCCACTAAACACAAGAAGCATCAGAATGAGACAGTAGGTTAAAAAAATTGAAAAACCCTTTTTTTTTTTTTTGACAATCCTTTTTAATTTTTTTTTCAAAATAGAGCTACGGGTGTATGATCAAGGCTACTCAGTTTTAATACTTACATTCAGTGGAAATAAGTGGAAATATAAAAAAAAAAAAAAGAGCGGGACAGTAATTTTTTGTTGCTGTACTTTTATTTGATATCTGTTTCACAGGAAAATACAACAAGGGGGAAACCAGAAAAACATCAACTTTGGTTCTTGGAGTGTGCACAAGTGTGTGTCTGTGACTAACTCTGGCCATATTTACTGCTGAATTTGGTATAAATTTAAAAAAAAATGTATTGTTTATGTATACTGTACACCAGTAACCTCAGGGTTACAGGAATAATTAGTGTTAAAAAATACTAGAATGGCTTTTACATACAGTCACTTTCTTTTGATAAACTGCATTTTTTACACTGTAGCAATAAGATTTTTTAAACAAAACAAGAACTTTAAAAACAATGTATAAAATGTAATAGACTGTTATGAGAGCAAATATTTAACACTTAACAAAAAAAATACTATTTAAAGACAGAGCTCAGAGGGCAGTCTACACAACCCACCTTTCTGATCAAAATTACATATATAATTTAATTCTATACAGGAACCATACAATGAAAAACAAGTTGCACTGTGGCTAATTTCAGTTCTTCATGGGGCAGCAACTAGATTTGGGGCGAGGCACAAGTAGATGCAAGATAAATTTGATGGTAGGCACTGCACAGTTAAATATTTGTGGGCAAGCACCAGACCCCAATGGTTATTTATACAAAATTATATTGTGCAACTTTTTAAGAAACATAGAAATTGAAGCATGGAATTAGATCACAATACTGTAGATTAAAAGTTTCCAAAAATGATGAAACTGCACATATTCCACAAAAACCCTTATTTCCTGTTCCACCTCTACTTAAAATTAAAAGAAAGGAGAGGGGGCAAAAATACTAAGATCGTGATGACATGATTTTTCTAGCAATAAAAGCACCAAGCAAAAATTTGAAATATTTCGCTTGAGTGATGACGCTATAAACTTCGAAGCCCCTGGCTTGGGGAAAAAGCTTTTTACACTCCCCAGACGCAATACTGGCAAAGTAGCAATAAAAACAGACCTGATTTTTAATATACACAGTCTCAAGCGTCTCAGAAAAAAATACAACAGTGGTAACCACAAAAAACACTCAGAATTAGGCAGCACCATGTGATTACTACCAAAATAGATAATTATCGCTTGTATATTTGCCAGCTTATCAATTTTTTTTTTTCACATTCACATTCAAAAACACAAGTGGTAATTTAGGGTTTTATTTATAAAAGTGTTTTCAAACTATACATGATGGGTTTTTTCCATTTTTAATTCCACTTGTAATTTAAAGAAATTTTGACAAATTTTTTTTTCTTAAAAGGAACAACAATGCTGGGCATATTTGCATAATTTAAACTGTGGATAATTTTTTTAAGTCAGACTGAGATTTAAAACCATACATACAAAATAACTAACTTAAGAGATGAGAATAATATATAAACCTGTAAGAGAAATTGTTAAAAATCTATATTATGCTCACATAGTCTTGTGTTGATCCACAGCCTGAAAATCCATGCAGAATGATCAGCAACTCATTGCCCATTGTCAAACATTATTATAAAACCATTTATGATTAAAATTTTAAGTTATACCATCTTAATAATATCCCAAACAATGGCACAAAACTGGTGATCATAAGACATATTTTGTGCACACAATAATAAAGGATGTCTGAAACGTCTCCGTAGGAATCGAGGCATTAAATTTGAAAATCAGAGGTACCCATACTTTGTTAGCACTTACAATAAAGTTAAGAAAAAGGGTGTAGCAGAAGTGAGGCAAGTTTAAACACTGTGAGTTCGGGAAGATCTCCATAATCTCAATACATTCAAGAATTGAACATGGATTATACGTCTCAGCCTCCTTATGTTTTAAAGGGTTAGTGCAATCTTCCATTACCCACAAGAGGCAAGAAGGCAAAGTCCCCCCGCTGCTACCCCAAAGAGTGTCAGTGGAACTAGGGAGTCTTTGTAAAAGAAAAAATATCCTCATGACACTTTGGCACAAAGATCAAGAACAATTGTTGAATACACACTGATTGCAAAGGCAGGGGAAAACTTGATCACATTCATATCAAAAAGCGTAGCTTTCTGGCAGCCCCCATATCCACGTTACTTCCGACACATTTGCAATAAAATATTTGTCACTAAGCAATAGCCACCTTGACTTTTTTTTCTATCAAATTCGTAGTCTTTTATTTTTAACAATTTTGTGCTTCATTAAAACTAACCTAAATGGAAATATTTGTTATGCTTTAGCATTACCCATAAGGTCACAAGTGCACTAGACAAAGGAGAAGGCAGCTGCTATTTTGGTAAGCAATATTTATAGGAGAGATATCTCCTGGATAACCAATCATACTATTAATTTATTAATATAAATTTGATCAAATATTCTTTTAATATAAAATTCAACTAAAATTCTTGTAAAAAACTTTACTGTCATCAGTTACCTTCTTCTTTATTTATATATTTACAAATCATTACCAGCCCTTGGATAATTGTACTAAATCTTACAAAAGATAAAAAATATAAAATTTTCTAATTGATGATCACCAATTTGTCAGGAGCTTGTCATGGAATATGGGAAAATCAAACACCTGCCAGTATTAACATGCAATTGACAAAATGTAAATAAAAATGGAAATGGAATACACATAACTGGTATGTAGAATGACTCGGAACATCCGACAGAGTAAAGCCAACTCTCCGCTATTTAAGTACAATGGGATCATTGAAAAATTACAACCCCTATGCATTGCTACACTTTTGTTCTTACTTATTCCGACTCTGACAGGTGAGCACCAGACAAGGAAATCTTTGTGCAGGTAACATGCAGTACATACAGGAGGGCTAAGCAGGAGCAGACATCCTCCTGCCCAGTACAATTGCTCACTCCACACAACCCACATAGGCCCACCTTCATTACAAAAGTTACATCCCTTAAAACATTCAGGCCCCATATCTAACACTATAAAACAAATATAGCCCTTCATTTGCTCTTTTTAGCAGGTTCAATGCCAATTGAAGCCAAACACAAATGTGATACAGGGCTAGAGGTCGGCATCTCAACACAGCGAGGCGACAGTGTGATTCACACCGTAAGCACCTAGTCCTTATAACCCTCCAGGGGCTAGTTAAGGATAAGGACAGGAAAAGATGTCATAGGGACACTTCAGAGCTAAGAGAAGCTGGGAGTGTGGAAATAAAGAATCTGACCTATAAAACAGAGAATCTTGTGTGGGTCAGGAAGGAGTCGATGCAGAGGGGGTTCTGAAAAATATTGAAAAAGAGTGGAAAAGCAGAATGCCTGGGAAGGTGAGGAATAAAGGGCTTCAGGGAGACTGTGGACAGTTTAGAGGAAGATACTAATATTAAGATTCTGTTTTTAATGTTAAGGGATATTAGAGATTGTGGAAGTTTATTATGGCCAAGAGTAGTAATTACAAGTTTAAGGTTTTATCAGATACAGTATTTAGATAGTTTAGTAGAGATGAGGTTAGGTTCAGAGAGGTCACTGAGATGATTGAGGGTCACACTGCAGCAAACGCACAATGGAGGGGTCACTCTTGGCCCCTTCAATGAATTCTTCAAGGCTAAGTTTGCCATCCTTATTCTTATCCATTTGACGGAATATTTTGTCTGTACGTTTTTCAGGAGTGCTTTCATCTTCTGGCATTTTCATCACAGAGCCAACCATCTTGTAAATTGCCTGAAATTTAAAACAGACAAATACCTAATGTGCAGTCAAACTTTTGTCAGAATTAACAGAAAATGATGAATTTCAATACAGGTCTTATAGATACACTACACTCACACATTTAAATCCTAAATTCATGAAGGTTAGGTTCCTAGAGGCCCCTTTGAATTCATGATTTGCTAAAAACTGTACTGCTCCACTAAATTCAGATCATACAATACACTTTGTTTCAGAGGCCATCTCTCTCTATATTGCTTTACTCTGAGCATATTATGAAGATAACCTTATGGTTAGTTTCCTATTTACCACTTGTGCATCAAATAAAAACTAGAGCAATGCAAAAAAAAAAAAATAAATAAATGAAACTACAGTATTCACAGGAGGCCCTTTAGTAAAAATGTTCAATAACTGAAGCATGTAAATTTGGGTGTTTGACTGTATAAGGAATTTACAAAAAAAATTATATATTAGATATACAGTGGACCCCCGGTTAACGATATTTTTTCACTCCATATGTTCAGGTGCCAGTACTGACCGAATTTATTCCCATAAGGAATATTGTGAAGTAGATTATTCCTTTCAGACCCCCAAACATACACGTACAAACGCACTTACATAAATACACTTACATAATTGGTCGCATTTGGAGGTAATCGTTATGCGGGGGTCCACTGTATAAATAAGTGATAATATACAGACAACAGAAGTATCTTTTCCTAGGTAGTAGGCTGATAGACAGCAACAGCCCAGGGAGGTACTACCGTCCTACCAAGTGAGTGTAAAATGAAAGCCTGTAATTGTTTTACATGATGATAGGATTGCTGGTGTCTTTTTTTCTGTCTCATAAACATGCAAGATTTCAGTACATCTTGCTACTTCTACTTATGCTTAGGTCACACTACACATATATGTACACACCCCTCTGGGTTTTCTATTTCCTTATTAGTTCTTGTTCACTTCCTCTTATCTCCATGGGGAAGTGGAACAGAATTCTTCCCCCGTAAGCCATGCATGTTGAAAGAGGCAACTAAAATGCCAGGAGCAAGGGACAAGTAACTCCTTCTCCTGTATACATTACTAAAGTTAAAAAGAGTAACTTTTGTTTTTCTTTTTGAGCCACCCTTCCTGTGTGGCATACAGCCGGTTTGTTGAAAGAAGATGTATCTTTTGCAGAGTGCATACTGTGGGTAACAGATCATAATCTAACCTACTTTTCTAAATGGGTACAAAAAAAAAAAAAAATTATAGCTTGTATATGAGCAGTGATTTATATAAATGCACAAGGTTTTATTAACATGTGAGCACTAGAAAATTACATAAAGTTCTAGATTGCAGTACATAAACAAATAATAATAATAATTTACATGTAATGTTTATTATTAACATGTGCATATTAAAATAATTGAATTCAATGGCAAAAACATAATTTTTATAAAATAAAACTAGTACGGTTTGGATAACACTCAACTTGAAAAAAAATACCTTTTCTTTTTAATTCCTTTGAATTTCTAAACAAATTTAATGCATAAAAGTAATTAAGAGGTTTTAGTTTAGACTTAAAAAGATCTGTACCATAGAAAACTAATAAAATATTTAAATAATTATTATTACTGCATAAAACTTATAGAAATCACAAAAAAAGGCAATTTAGTGCTGGGTGAAACTAAGGAAAGAGAAGCTTATCAGGAAACACTACCATTAATATAGTTTTTCATAGCAAAATTGTATGCTCTTCTTGCTGCTGCCATCACATTTATGCTCCTCATTTGTTGTACTTTCATTGTAGTCTATTACTAGTCCCTACCATACTTGAGTTCAGGGTAATAAAAAGGATTCTCCAAGAGTTGTGCAGTCTATGTTCTTTCAATTTCCCACATGTGGTCACCATTTTCCAGTATTAACTTGGCACTTGTGGAGTGTTAACAGTATCACTGGTGTGCATTAACCCCTTGATTGTTGCAACCCCAAATCCTGAGGTGTCTGCTGGTGTTGCAAAATTTAAAAAAAAAAAAAAAATTATTTTTTTCTTATGGAATGATAGAGAATCCTTTCCCGATTGTAATGACACCAAAAGAACAAGATTTGATGGAAAACTGGCGGAATTACGTTCTCGTGAAGTTACCAACCTCAGCAATATTTACGATTCTGCGCACTTTGAGCCCTATTTTTGGCTAATTCCATTGTTCTAGTCGACCAAACTCATAGCTATTTCTTTAGAATTCCATTTTTTCTATCGATTGAGTACAAGAAACTGCCCATTTTACTGATTTCAACTACCCAATAACGTGGTCAGAAATTTGCAATTTGGCCAATTTCACGAAAATTTAAAAATATGACAATTTCAAAATAGGGTCCATTATTATTATTATACAGGTCTCCCTCAACATTCACGTTTTCAGCTTTCGCGGGCTTCACACATTCGCAAATTCCCAACCGCCAAATTCCCAGCCACCAAATTCCCAGCCGCTAAATTCATATTCAAGTTTCCCGCCACCTGCGAGTCCCTACTACCCTCCCACCGACCCCCGCAACTGGCAGCCAGCCCTCCCACCACTCAGTGTGGTGAGTGTTTTGTTTGTTCATTATTTGCTATTAAACTACAGTATAAATAATGTAAACACATTCATGACTGCATATTGGAATGGCTATTTGGACAGGTATTAGACGGTGACATCATGTGTTTACTCTTGAACACAGCAAAGAATCAAACATTTCTGCTACTGCTAATAATAACAATAGTAATAATAATAATAATGCGATATAATTGAAGAAGGAAATTGTACAAAAATACGAGGGAGTGGTTGACACATCGTCAGTGTGGCTTTGTTTATGCTGGAGTGAACATTAGTCTCCCTGCTCTTCCAAACATTTCACAATAATTCATTGTTTGGTGCTTGTAGATTGAGTGCGACTGGAGTGGTTGAGGCAGTGGTTGAGGCAGTGGTAGAGGCAGTGATAGAGGCAGTGGTAGAGGCAGTGATAGAGGCAGTGGTAGAGGCAGTGATATTTACTAACATATATGTTATAAATAATAATAGTACATTATGAATAACTATTATTATTATAAATGTTATTAATATTAACATGTACTATTATTACTTATAACATACGTATATGTTAGTAAATACCACTGCCTCACCCACTGCCTCTATCACTGCCTCTACCACTGCCTCAACCGCTGAATTATTGTGAAATGTTTGGAAGAGCAGGGAGATTAATGTTCACATCCAGCATAACAAAGCCACACTGAGATATGTCAACCACTCCTCTCGTATTTTTGTACAATTTCCTCCTTCAATATATCGTATTATATTATTATTATTATTATTATTATATTATTTACTATTGTTATTATTAGCAGTAGCAGAAATGTTTGATTCTTTGCTGTGTTCAAGAGTAAACACATGATGTCACCGTCCAATACCTGTTCAAATAGCCATTCCAATATGCAGTCATGAATGTGTTTACATTATTTATACTGTAGTTTAATAGCAAATAATGAACAAACAAAACACTCACCACACTGAGTGGTGGGAGGGCTGGCTGCCAGTTGCGGGGGTCGGTGGGAGGGTAGTAGGGACTCGCAGTGGTGGAGGAAGTGGTGGAGGCATTGGCGGAGGAAGTGGTGGAGGCATTAGCGGAGGAAGTGGTGGAGGCATTGGCGGAGGCAGTGGTATTTAATAACATACATGTTATTAAAGCACATGTATATATTTAGTACAATTTACGACGTTTTCATGTATTTTATGATTGTTCATGGTTCAACAAGTTAAGCAGTATTGTATTATATTTCCCTACAATATATTTGCGTACCAAACATTCACGGTTTTTCAACATTCGCGAGGCTCTTGATCCCCTAACCCTCGCGAATGTTGAGGGACACCTGTAATCAAAAAGAAGCGCTAAGCCACAAGGGCTATACAGCGCTGCAGGGTAGGGAAGGAAGCGAGGGTATTGGATGGCAGAAGGGAGGAGGGATGATCAGTAGGTTACAGAAAACAGCGGGGCAGGGGATAGTACGGGGGTAGAGGGTAGCAAGAGATTGAAGTAGAAAGGGCTGAAGGTATCAGAATTTGTGAAGTAAGTCAGTTGTTGTCAAAAAGTCAATGAGAGAGTCTGGATGAAAGGTGGGTCCATCAGCGAAGAGAGAGCAGCAGAGCGAAGACGACGATGGAGGTAAATTCTGCGTGCTCGTTGATAAAGTGGGCAGTCCAACAGAATGTGGCTGACGATGATAATGGAACTTGGCAATTCTCACAGAGAGGAGCAGGGCGCCTCTCCATGAGATATCCATGAGTAAGACGAGTATGGCCAATGCGAAGACGGGAGAGAGTAGTCTCCCAACCTCGACACTGGTGATAAGAAGACGGCCAGTAACCTATACTCGGTTTAATAGATTGAAGTTTGTTGCCGAGCATAGTAGACCAATGTTGTTGCCAACGGGTGTGAAGGTGGGAAGATATTGCAGCAAAATAGTCCGTAAATGGAATACCTCTACATGAAAGCTGGTAGTCATGTACTGCTGACTGCGCAGCAGTGTCTGCTGTTCATTGCCCTGTACGTCAACATGACCAGGGACCCAACAAAAAACAATATCTTTATGCTTGGTAAAGATGCAGCGTAGCCAGAGTTGGATACGGAGGACTAAGGGGTGAGGTGTATCAAATTTCTGTATAGCCTGTAAAGCACTAAGGAGTCTGAGACAACCACAAATGATGACACAGGCATAGATGCAATACGGATAAGTGCTGTAAGGATGGCATACAATTCAGCAGTAAAAATACTAGCTGAAGATAGTAAATGCCCTTGTACGACGCTGTCCGGAAACACTGCTGCGAATCCTACGCCGTCAGAAGACTTAGAGCCATCTGTGTACACAGCAATGGCATGAGAATGAGAGTGAAAGAGGTCAAGAAAAAGAGAGCGGGAAGCGACCGTAGACAGTTGAGCTTTCGAGCAAGGGAGAGAGAAAGAACAGACTCGAACAGCTGGAACTTCCCAGGGGGGTAGGG